GTCGTGATGGTCTTCTCTAGACCCTCAGCTTTTGGGTAGAAGATGCTTGTCTCCGGGCCCTTGGCCTCTGATGTATTGTGGACATGCTCGTCTCCAGGCCCTCGATCGTGATGGTCTTCTTTAGACCCTCCGCCTTTGGGTGGAAGAAGCTCGTCTCCGCTACGATTCTTTTCACCAAGATTCATTCTGGAGCATCATCCATTATTGGTCATCTACACAGTGACACAACCAAATGGTCAGACAATATGCATATGTGCACCCAATTTTTTTTGTAGATCTGGGGTTCTTCCGGATGTGACCATCGGCCCGGGGGTATGATGACCCTCGGTTCGGCCCGTCACCTTAGTTCCCCCAAATATGACTGAGCCTGGGGTTCAATGACCCTCGGTCTTAGCAATGCTATTCACCCGCATGTCGCGTTCATTAACCTTCTTCATGGCCTCATGGTAGCAGGCACGAGCTGTGTGCGGATCCGTGCGGGCCACTCCCAACCCAGTCTCCGTGGGGAACTTGATGCAAGAATACCGTACGAAACAGATGGCTTCAAGATCTTCTTGGCCCGGCCTCCCCAGGATGTTACTAATTAACTAATAAATTGACTAAATCACTTGAATCCCAACTTACTTTTAATGTCACGGAATACTTGATAGGGAATTGTAAATATGGTAAAATACCTAAAACAATTTAAGGGGGGTGAACTTGTGACACCGGTCCCGGATGTACTTGAACTTAATATTCAGTATGTATTTGAATTTTCTAGCGAATAATTTCGTGTGACATATTGGTATATTTAATTAATGCATGATTAATTAAATTATTTATCGGGCCCATAATATTGAGAATGGGTTACCAAATATTTAGTTGGGTTGTCATAATAATTATAGAAGCCCAATAAAATGTCAACCGGGGTTGATGAAAATGGTTGGACGATACAAGTGCTATTTTGACCCAACCTGCCAGAAATATCAGGGATGATTGGGAGAAATTTCCTATACCCACTTGGAATTTTCCCACATGCATTGTATGCTCCAAATAATGATTTGGAGACAAGAAAATATGATAGGGGGGACTTTTAGGGAGAGGGGATAGCTCAAGACAAAGCCACACCCATATGTCCTATCATTGGCATTATCTTGGCCTTTGATTGTGAATGAAACACCTCCCTAAGTCATTTTAGACCATACGCAAGAGCAAGAGGATGATAAGGTCTAGGAAAAAGCTCTCAAAGTTCCGTAGCTTGAGAAACCAAGAAGAGAGAAGGGTCCAAGAAGAAAAGCTAGAGTTTGAGGTGAGAACTCAACTAGTATTTCTTTTAACTAGTTTCTTGGTGTATGATTTTTAGGAAATCATTTGGTAGGTTAAACATGAAGTTCTACACGTTTAAAAGTGTAGAATATTGATATATAGTGATGGTAATTAACTTAGAAGATTTGGTGAATCGATAGGAGTCGGAAACGCCGGAAACCGCCAAGAAAAACAGGCTGCCTGTAGCTGCAGTGCACGAACACCGCTCGACTTTCACGAAAGCCGCCCGGCTTTCACCTGCTGTCCAGGTTTTCCACTCTCGAACGGCCTAGAACGAGGACGGATCGAGGGGTTTCGCAAAGGCAACTAGTTGAGCACATCATAAGGTGAGGATGGCTGACTATGTTGCTTATAATTAGTGAGTTAATTTCATGAGATTACCTAAGGTAATTAAATGTGTTTTTTATGGATTATTAATGATTAATAATGCCTAAGAATGAGAAGACTATGCTCTATAAGGAAAACGAGCATAATATACAAATTTAGGAGTAAATTGTGTATGATCATGTTTTATGAATATGAAAATGGAATTAACTATGAACTTATGTTGGTATATGCTTTTTACTCCATATAAGAATATATGAGTGAGTAAAAGTGATATTTTGTATATTGATATAAATTATATTTTCAATGGAAAATCAGTTTGGATTTGTCTATATGACTATGAGTTGAGAACTTGGATTGATAGAATTTGTCCGACTAGTATTAAGATCCTAGTCGGGGAATTGGATAAATAATTATGCTAGAATTGATCCTAAGGTTGGATTGTGAATTGTTAAACCTTAAGTAGTCTTGAGAGATACTTTAAGGTGGATAAGTATGAATTTTAAGTTATACTAGGGGTATGCCTGAAGGGATACCCAAGATAGATTGAATAATAAATTGATCCTAGGTATAGGATTGGCCTACGGGCGTGTTCGGTAGTCCTTTAGGATAGCCGGTTGAGTTATGGGAATAAGTAAGGACCATGGCCCTTCCCGACTCTAGAGAGCGGGGTTGGATAGCATGGACTTGCATCGTGATCACGGGTTTGAGTGGAATCTGAATCGGAGACCTAACTAGGCTCCGGTAGCGGTAACACATAAGATAGGACCCCAAAGGGCCTTACCTTCCTACGGGATGATGGGTATGAGTCCAGGGGCGGGATGTTGAAATCCGAACCGATAACCTCATGAGGTCTCCAACAGCGGTAGTAAATCCCGTAGAAATAATAAGACCCACGGGTTGGGTTGTACAAATGATAAATGCAAGGAAATATATAATAAGGGCCGTGTGCCGACAAACGAATGAATTTACTTATTATAGAGATAATAAGTGTGAAATATGAATAAATATTTATATTATGCTATCACCCTAATTTGAGGGTCTTAGAAATTAAAGCGTTGATTATACTCGGTATAGTTGTCATTGTACTTGTCAAATGCTTCCAAGTACTGACCCCCCCTTCACGGGGGAGGCCACCTCACAGTTTCAGGTAGAACGTGAAGGTTGCTACCATCGCCCGTTGCACCGGGAGGATCAAGAGAAGAAGACGTGGTTCGTGCTTCTTCTGTTTTCTGATTTTCAAAACAATTATCATAATCCTCATGGATATTATTTTTTGAATAATTATTTGGGGTTTTGTATGCCCATGTTTGCCAAAGTGTGGCATAGACACTTGTATTTAATGCTTCCGTTGTTTTAAATGAATGTTTCACATTATGTTTGTTTATGGATGTACTATGTGTGAATGATATTCAAGACGCCTTGTATAGTATGGATGAGTTGGACTGCGGTTGACTATTCGTACTGTACGGCGGGTTGTTGACGTGTCCGGATAGGTCCGGGGCGTGACACCGCTGGTCCCGCTATGGGCTTAATTGAGCCAATGACAGGCAAACCCAACTCTTCATCATTTGTCCTAAGTTCTAGAGTTTTTTTTTTTGCGGGAAAAACACAGCACAACCAAAACAACATAAAGATCCAAATAAAAAAGAAACATGAAATCAGCTAAATAAACTAAATAAAATTATCTTCCAAGCATCAACAAGATCTGAATCCTCATGAGCCATTTCGGGCCTGGGTCCCAAAGCCTGCCCCCGCCCCTTTCGTGTTTTTTGGCCTGTCTAGGGCCATTTCCTCCACCACATAATCGACTTGCTCTTCCCATGTGCGTCTCCTTTTGTGATCACCTGGGCCTCCACCTACCTAAGTCTCTCCTGTCTCAGTAGTAGCCACCAAACATCCCTGCCAATCCCCTACCTTGACTTTCGGAGCCAGATCCTGATTTGTCTGAGAGATATTTGTTTTGTTGCATACACCTGCAAAGATTCCCTATGTAACCAGCCAATTACTTCCCAGAGAAGGGCGAGTCTTCCTTCCTTCCGCAGCCACAGACCAAACCAATTCCTGACCTCCTTCTTCGTACATTAATGGGCAAAATTTTCTCTACATGACCTATGACCCCACAGACAAAACAAAAGCTTGGAAGCTTCTAATATTTAAAATCAATCCAATATCCTTCCCCTTTACTCTTCTCGATAGTGGTGCCAACTTTTAGGGGCTTTCCTACATCCAAGCAAATCTGAACTCTCATATAAGCCTCCCACTTTTCATCAAACTGGTTGTCATCTGAACTAAGAAATTTAACAAAGAAATTCCCAATTCTCCCATGAGTTTAGCATAATTGTATGGCACATTGTGCACTTGCACCGAGAAATCAATCAAATCCAAAGGGACCTTAAGCGGGATATCCCCCAGCTTAATGTCTCTTAACACTAATAAATACTGATCAAACAACCATGACCCATTATCCAGAACACACATTATCCAGAACACGATTCATATCAATTGAATGGTAAAATATAATAAGGCACCTTTTTTCACCAATTTCCTTGATCGAGACCCCCTTCACTGGGCGCCACAAAGACGCCATGATGCCTTTGAGAATTTGGAACTGCACCACCTTGTTCGTGAGAAACATGTCGACCACTGGGAATTCCTCCACATGGTTAACCTCTTTCTCGGCAACCCCATCATCATCATCACCATCGTCATGATCATCATCATATCGTCGATCACCAATTCGTTCGACGCTGTCCCAATGTCTAGGCCATCGTATTGCTCGATCAGTTGGTTTACCGAACCGAGGGCCTTTGACTGCCGCCGAACTTCTTCCCGAGACGCCTCTCCTGCTTCCTCTCTGGACCGTCACAACGCTTATTCCATCGACGGGCAAATGTACGTAGCGAAGATTTGATGTTTACGAAACCTTACCTTTTGAACAAACAACCACACTTGATGACGGCAGAAAACTCGAACCCTAAGACAAGGAGAGACCGCGGCTCTATGTTTTGATCCTAGCTCTGCTTGGTTAAAATAGTGTAAAATATTTAAAAAAAATGCTTTAAAGTTTATATCAAATAATCAAATCAAACGGTGTAAAATGTTTACTTCCCAACACTTTACATGGAAATTGTTTACATCATACCAAAGAGGCTTTATGTATAAAGTTCACAAATACAATTTATTTTATTATAAACCCGTGAGTAAAGCAATACCTGAAATGTTCTGTAGTTTAATAATTCAAATAATTTTCAAAGGGGATGTAGCTCAAATGGTAGAGCGCTCGCTTTGCATGCGAGAGGCACGGGGTTCGATCCCCCGCATCTCCAGTTTTTTTATTGATAATAGATACATTTTTGCAAATGCACTTTGTTGTGTGTTTTAAAACCCATAAACTAACTACCGTTTTCATCGACTCCATCTTGCTTTTCCTAGTAGTTAGGCGGCTTTCCGCCATAGCAAATCTGATATTTTACTGAACAAAGATGGAAAGTCCGATGGCTTCAGAGCAACACGATTCCAAGTCTAATTACCGGAAGGTGGGTGCCGAGTCGCCAAGACCGCCGTCTAATGAGGTAGGTTTTGACTTCGGCGGCAGTGACAGAAGATTCGCATATTCACGTCAAGCATCGTTTCACCAATCTAACAGTCTATCGAAGCCTCTGCTGACGCGTAACGTTTCGAGCATCGATATACCGGATATTTACTCTCGAGATTCGCCCTACGTATTGTCCCAGGAATCAAATATCTCTGACGAGAAATTTTCCGTTTCTTCTCTTCTTTCAGCAGTTTTAAGAGGCGTCTTATCGGGGAACAAGCCGATGAGGAGGTTGTTTGTGTTGATTTCACTTAATGTAGCTTATTCTACAGTCGAGTTATGCCTTGGGCTTTTTTCAGGCCGAGTAGGTATGGAGTTTCAATCTGTCTTGGCTCTTATTCAATTTTATAATGGCTTTGTTTGTATTATGCCTAGCCCTAGCTAGAAAATCAATGATTACTCAGTATTTGGAGTTGTGCTTTGTGAATTTAGTATATGGTTGTTAATTGTTTATCATTTGGTCTGGATTGCTGTTATACTTATTCAGAGAATCCTTGTTTTGCTTTCAATCAAGTATTATGCTATATATGCACGCCATTGTTTCATTAGAAGTGGTGTCTTCAGTTTTATTCTATGGGTCATATTGGTTTAATCTGATGCTCATGAATGTGGGTTATGCTTTTGTATCAGGTCTGGTCTCAGACGCATTTCACTTGACATTTGGCTGTGGCCTCTTAACATTTTCATTGTTTGCAATGGCTATTTCTAGGAGAAAGCCTGATGGAACCTACACATATGGGTGAGCTTTGAAACGTGTTATGTACTTGATGGGCTGAGTTTGAAATTTGTGCAATCTATCTCTTGCTTGATGCAATGGGGTACCTGAACACATACATAGTTCTTTTGTGAGCATGATAATGTTTGTTTTAGTATTGATGGATGCTGATTTGGTTATTGCTGAAGAGAACAAATTGTATGATTAGTTGGGGTGGGAGGGGGTGGGGGATTCAATCCCATGTTGGCTATACATACTTGTAATTTTGTCGGGAATCATATTCTCAGTAGAGCGAGAGGCATGCTGTTTGAATATTGTCTCCATAGACACATACTGACGGTCTAAACTGTCTGCGCTTCTTTGTTATGAAGCGGTGGTCAGTCCATGCAATTTTCGACGTGTTTTTCATCCTGGGTCGTCTGGACACAGTCTCTCTGTGCTTTAGTACAGGGGTAAGGCTGCGTACATCCGACCCCTGTACCCCACCGTAGGTGGGAGCCGTTGCGGCATTGGGGTAATGTTGTTGTTGTAGCCCCCAATGGTCTGATGCTTAATAAAGCATATAAAACTCAGCATATGTCTAATCAATGTATCCTTTTTTAGGTACAAGAGATTAGAAGTTTTGTCTGCTTTCACTAATGCTGTAAGTACGTGAAAACTCGGACACTATTGCCCCTTTGTTGTACATGAATGAGTTTTAATTGTCATGGTGGGTAGCGCTAAATCCGCTAATAAGCTAATAGCTGGGCAATTTATTAATTTACACTGATTTTTTGTTGTTGTTTTTGAAAGAACAGTTGAGTACTTCGAATTTTAAAACCAGGTAATACTGATTTACCGTTTTTGGAGCACATGGAGTTGCTTTATTTCTTTATTCACATATTAAATAATTTAATACTACGTAATATGATATTAGGATCTATGTTTAAAAGGTTAAGTTTTGTAGAAAATATGATTTTGTGTTCTGATAGTACTCTTTTATATAAATGTCTAATTTCTGAATCTGTAAATGTCACTTATAGACTATGGCATTAATGAAACAAGCAAGAAAGAGAAAAAAAATACATATGTATACATACATCTGTGTGTATATATATATACCCATGCTTCAATATTCGGTTTGTACATTCTTAGATCGAACCCTATGCTTATGAGCCTGTTTGGTAATACCCAAATCGACTGCATTGGTTGTTCCTGCTGAAATTTATGAAGTTTTGGTTGAAGTGGTTGGATTGGCTTATTTTGTTTATTTATGAAAAAATTATATTTTATTAATAAAATAAATAAAAAATTATATAAAAATAGCTAAAATGATCATGCACGGTAACTTCAGCCAATACAGCCATAAGAGTAACTTCAGCCTTACTTTTCTTATTATTACACAACTCAGCGCGCGAAATTAAAAGTTACGTGTTTGGTGAAAAAGTGGGCTGATAAGTCGAAAAACAGGGTCACCAAACGTGCTCTATATCTGATAGCTTGCACCCGGTGCATGAGTTGTATACCTTTAGAATAGATTAGCATTCATTAGATTTTGCATAATAATTTTTGCAAGTCTTTCTTGGTTCTTTTACTCAATACTAACACATCACTTTCTTAATGTGATTCTTGTGTGTAGACAGCTCTTTCTATTGTTTTTGTCATTCTCCTTAGCTGTTGAAGCACTTCATGCATTCATACAAGATGAATCTGAGCACAAGTATGCCATTTTCTCTATACTCAAACTTTCTGGGAGTGTTTAACTTACATTTTTCCATTACTCTCGAGTGGAGATTTTTAAACTATGGTGAACTTACCTACCATCTTAGCATGAGTTAGCATCTTCATGAGATGCTATATAAATCAAATTTATTCATACAATTTATCACTTTCTAATTGGGATGGTATTTTGCTCAAGTGCTCAACTAATATTGAAATTTTTGGTAAAAGGGTATCTTTTACACACACACACAAATGCAACCGAGCCTTGAGACTAAAAGATTTCCAGATAAATACTTGAATTTGGTCAAAAGAAAAATGTAACCAGCTTCACCACATTTTTTCATGCGAATTCCCAATGATTGCTGAATTGGAATCCAAGTCATTTAGTTTTTAGGCACAAAAGAATAGCAATTGAAATAAATTAATAAAATAAAATTAGTAATTTTGAAAAATAATATTTATTTTATAGAAGAATCCATAAAATATGTTTTCAGTTACAATTATTTATTAGAATCTTCAGTTACAAATCATTGTATTTATTGTCATTACTAGCTTGCGGTATTGACCCCTTAGATCATTGTATAATTATTAGAACATATACAAGGGAATGAATCAAGCTTTCCATTTTAAAGTTTTCTCCCTTTCTAAACTTCAATATGGTATCAGAACCACAAGAGCTCTAAGCCTCTAACCGGCCTATCCTCTTGACTTCAATCCGTTATCCAGCATCCCTTCTTCCTTCTCCTCATGACTACTTACGGGAACAGAGGCGAACGCCCAGAAGACCTCCATGAGCAGGGAGACCTTGAAACCTCCCTTGTGGCCCTTAGTTTTAAAAGGCGTGAGGCGGCATGAGGCGATTCATCGATTTACTCGAGGCGCGAGGCGCAAGGCGACGAGGCACGCGCCTCACTGATCGAAACCATATATCTTTGGTAAAATATATTTTTACAACTTCTACATGAAGCACTCTTCTAAAAAATACTTCTATTAATAGTAAATATATTTACAATAAACTGTTAGTACTTAATTCAAATCCTAAGCAATTAATAGTAAATTTTTAAAAAACCTTTTATATAATGATTATTAATAACAACCAGCTCTCATATATAATTGACTAATTATTATATAATAAACTTATAAAGTATCAAGAGTATAAAGTTAAACAATCAGATTGACAGATTCGACAAACCATATTTATTATTTCTAAAAATTGATAAAATTCGGATTGGGATTAGGGTTTAGGGAAGATTGTTATATGGTTATATAATTACATAATTTGAATTATTTTATTTATTTTAAAAATAATAGTGTAAAGAATACAAAGACTAGCGGAAGAAAGAAAACAAAGAGAATGGAAGAAAGAAACTTACGCAGCCGAACAAAAAGAAACAAAGAGAACGGCCGAAAAAAAAACATAAAAATGGCAATCTGCGACAGAGGAGCGGAAGGTTTGAGACTTTGAGTTGATGGAGTGAAGTAACCTTACCTTACATACATATATTACCCTACGAAAATTCTGGAAATCAAGAGGGATGAATCGCCAAAAGGCTTGAAGGAAGTTTAGCGGACATATTCCATAAGGCGTGAAAGGCAACGCTTCAAAGAGGCGCAAAAGGCGGCACTAGGCGAGGTAAAAGGCGTGCCTTATGGAATCTGCTGCGCCTGGGATGTTTGGATGCGATGAAGTCATCGCCTAGAGGCGCCTCGCGCCTGAGGCGCGCTTTTTAAAACCAAGTTGTGGCCTGTGGCCAGACTTCATCCCTCTCAGCCGGTAACAGTGGATGGCCTTATTAGGCTCAGCCCTAACCAGTTTCCAGAAAAACAAGATGAAGGTCAAACTACCTGGTATGGCGAGACCAGTTGATGGACCCCTCCTGTTTGGCTCCCATCTCGATCAGTACATTGATGACAAAGCTATTCCACCTACGGACAGTGATGCAACTGGCCTTCTCCGATGGAAGAGACATCATCGTATGCAGCGCCATGCATTTGTCTCCTCTCTCAGTCCGGCTTTGCAAACCTCTAATTGGTCTGTTTGGAAGACACTGGAGCATCTCTATGGGAACCGGTCAGTTTCCAGAATTTGAAACCTCAAGGACCGATTCCCCCATGCTCAACAGGGGTCTCAGTTTCTCGGAGAATATCTTCATCACCTTCGAACCTTTGCAGATAAACTTGCCATGGCCGGCTTACTGGTAGACGATGAAAACTTTTCACTATTGAAGCCTTGAAAGTTTTCATCCTGAGTTTAAAGCTATTCAGAACATAATCTGCACGATCGACGATACTGGATTTGAAGAAATATATACTCTGCTCGTTCGCTTTAAAGACGATCTTTGACAGGAGTTTTGAGCTCTCGTCCATTGTCACTGCGAACTCGGCGTCTCTAGGACAGAAGAACGGGGGCGAATATATCGCCCTGGCTGTTTGAATAAATACGGGCCTAACTAACCGTCAAAATGCTTCCATATTAGGCCTGAGCTCATTGACCCAACTTCAGAGTATATGCCCAACAGTCCCAATACCTAGAACAGAAATCACTTATTTCCTGGAAATCATCCAAGCAACAGGCAGTCGTCAAATCTTTGACATAAGGAGAGTATCAGGCTCTATCCACGGCTGCGTCCGAAATTCTCTGGATTGAATCACTTACTCATGAGCTATGTGCCTATGACATCCGCCTCCTTCTCCTCCAATCCTTATTTGCAATAAGAAATGAAATACCACCTCTTCACGACTTCACCAAATCCTGTCTTCCATTCTCGGATGTAAGATGTTGCAATTGATTTCCATTTTGTCCGGCAACGTGTGCAGAGTGGACATCTTCTGTCTTTCATATCCCCTTCATGATCAGATGGCTGCCGTTCTCACCAAGCCACTTCCTCCATATCGTTTTATCCTTCTTAAAGATAAGCTCAGGATTCTTGGGAGTGATAAGACCTGGCTTGAGGGTGTGTAGAAGAATCCAGAAAATAAGTTGTCAGTTACTATTATTATTAGAATCTTCAGTTATAAATCATTGTATTTATTGTAATTACTAGCTTGCCTTATTTACCCCCTCGATCATTGAATAAATATCAGAACATACCAGGGAATGAATCAAGCTTTCCAGTCTGAGTTTTCTCCCTTTTCTAAACTTCAATACATTTCTTATGTTTGCGCGCGTTGCCACATGGCCTGTCTCTGATTCTCCAGCCACTTTAAACGAGACAAACTCCAAAGTTGCTGCTGCATGAGTTTCCTTAGGAAGAAGCCGATAAATGCCATTATGCCATGGCAGTCACAGTCTTTCGTAAGAGGTGCCGAGCCTTGCTTTATATTCCTATAAGGTGCTTGCTCGGGACTGTTACCTTAAGGTTACATGGCCAATCTTAACCGCTGAAGGTCCCCTTCCTATGACATAATATGCTATTAAACAACACAGGCAGTCTGGGTAGGGGAGAGCAAACGCGACCCTACCCGATTGACCCGATCGGATATATCTGATTTTTTTTGTTGGGGTCGGAAAACCCGACCCGAAATACCCAAACCCGATCCGATTCTTGCAACCCAAGACTTAAGCGGGTAGCGGGTAGGGTTACCAATTATGCTACCCGACCCGCCCGAAAAACCGAGCTAGCGTAGTATATATACTACTTTGAATTATTATGCATGTTCAAATATCTCAATTATTGTATGTCAATTACCATATTATGCATGTTCAAATATTCCAATTACCGTATTTGTACAACTATAACTTTGAATGTTATATTGTTATGACTTTGAATGATATTTTGACCAATTATCATTTTATTTATCACAATATTAAATATGTCAATCACCGTAAATTATTATTTTACATGTTCAAATATGTCGATTACCATATTTCTACAACTATTACTTTGAATGTTATACTAGTATAACTTTGAATGATATTCTTACCAATTATCATTTTATGTATCACAATTTCAACAATAATAAATTAAAATCTGAATTGACCCGAAAATTGTATCAACCCGACCGCAACCCGACTTTCTTCAACCCGAAAAACCCGATAAATTTTTTGATAGGATAGGGTTTGAAATTATCAATCCGATACCCGAATGGGTTTACCATTCTTGAACCCGACCCGCCCGAACCCGACCCGTGCTCTGCCCTAAGTCTGGAGAACCTTCTCATCCAGATCTAGACTATCTTCTTTGTCCAGGTAGGCTTCCTTTTCCCTGTCATCTAAGAGAACTAAACTCTTCCCTTACCACTTTGTCCATGGACAGTGGTGGGGGTGGATAAGTGGATTATTACTGTACTTTTGGCCATTGTAAGTACTGTTTCGCTGTTTTATGTTGCATCTATTTTTTAAATTTAGTAATTTACAATTATAGTTATATATATATATATGTGTGTGTGTGTGTGTGTGTGTGTGTGTGCATGTATATCTAGAAATACACAAAGAAGACCACATAGAATATCATGTAAAAAAGCAACAGGTTACGGGATATGTTAAAATCCAGAACTGGCGACCCAGTCTCAAAACTGTTTGGTGAACTCATAACCTGCAAAAAGATAAAACCAGGACAACCAGCCTCATTTGGTAGAAACTGGCCCATACTCATAACCTGTAAAACCCAACTCTGCCTAAAAGCTGCCTTGGAAGTTTATTTTTGGTCCTAACCCTCTTAGATCTAATATTTTGCAAAAATACGAAATCAACCTCCCGCCATAGAGATCCTCAAGTCTGGGTCCCCTCCTAACTTCATAAAGGATCGACAATATTGTGTGACTGCATCTCAATTCTCATGCCAGAAAGATATGTAAATTTGAAACCAACTAATCCAAAAAAACTTTTAGTCCTAAAAGGATTATGTTATGGATGCTTTCTGGGGCCAGCAACACCACCCTCTACAGAGCCAGCCCCAGGTTGCAAGACCAAGTTTGTCAGCAAATAGTGCCCCCAAACCTATTGAACAATAAAGTGGCTGAATCTAAAATAAAATAAAGAGGCAAGCTGCAGGGATTGATCTGTACGCTTCAACTAATACAGATCCATTTTTCCTATTTCAGTTTTAGACAGCTTCTTAATTACTCCCTCCGTCCCATTTAAAGGTTCACGACTTCACGTCCACTATTCTCCGGTCAAAGTGAATTGTTCTTAATCTTTTACTTTATATTTCCAACTTTTATCAAATTTATTTTTCTTGATCATGTATTATAAAAATTTTAATGTAGTTTCTGAATATGTAAATTTTATTTGCTAAAATTAATCTTATTAATGACATGTATCAATTAATTTTATGGTCAGTCAAACATCGTAAACCTTTAAGTGGGGTGGAGGGAGTAGCAATTGTTTTGTCTTACAATTAGGACTCTTGTAATACTCAATATAAGGGCCATAATTATTATTGAATAAAGAGAAAAGGGTCAACTAGACCCTTCTACTATTTCAAAACCATCACTTAGGCCCCTATACTAAAAAAAGCATCATTGAAGTATGTTTACTTTTAAAAATCGTTCAATGTAGCCATATAACCGGTTTTTGACCTGTAATAGCAGATTTATTATATTAAAAAACTCTAAGAAACTGTTAAAATTCGAATAATTATAAATAAAATATCTGAACAATTTAAAAATGTGAAACTCAATATTTTGGCGTTTTTTTGAACTATTTTTATATTCTACATCTTTTTAAAAGTTTTCAGATTTTAATTTAATGTATTTTACAAATTCACTTTTTTACATTATTCTGATTTTTTATTTTAACTTTTTTTTAAATTAGTTATCTTTTATCTTCATTTTTACGATCTTATATATTATTTTTACATTATTTTTTCAAGTTTATATGAATTTTTATAAGATTTATTAATTTTCATAATTTCTCCCCAAAAATAACGTGCTTTAGCAGGTCAAAATGGCTTGAGTGACTCTGTGACTGTTTTCAAAGTAAGCATACTCATATGATACTTTTTTAGTACGGGGGCTTAGATGACCGATTTCAAATAGTAGAAGTGTCTATTTGATCCTTTTCCCATGATTAAATCACTTTTAGAAGAATTAATTTGTGGATGTCTTGACTAGGTCAGGCATCATATTAATTCCAACAAAGAATTTAATAAGAATATGCTTTTAATCGTAGATTCTTTTGTAGAAGTATACCTATCCTCTCATTCCAGACTTATTCTCATCCCTGGACGAGGTCTTTAACGCAAGCACTTAACAGATTACCAACTTTGCTTTGGATAACTATGTGTGTTGCCGATGCTTATTATTGGATTATGAAGGGTGAATAGTTTTTCCTTTGTTTGACCGGACTGACCTATTGCTGATTAGGCTGCCTCACATTGACAGCGACCTGGTCACTTTACTGGGTCGAATCCTATTTGGGTTTTGAGAACATAGGTTACAGACATACAGGTTGTCTACCTGTCAAATAGTAAACTGTTATACCTTCAATGGTCAATTGCATTTTCATAAAAGTTTGAGTACTTATTTGTTCTTTTTGTTCATTTTATAGAGATCAGACCATTATCTATTTAGCGATCATATATTCTGGTTGGGTAAGCAAGTCCCCTTAGTCTGCCTTTAAGTTGGACAGTAAATTTCAATTTCCTCAACTTCTAAAGATGCTCCATTTTGTACACTTACAAGTTTGACCTGTCAGGATATATAATAAAATAGGTTGTGCTTCTTAAATTTTCAAAAGAATTCTAGAAAAGCACATGTTGATGGAAAAATACTATGAGCGAAAAGTTTATAATTTCTATCCAATCTCTGAGCCTGCTCTGTCCGATGGATTAGCTTGCTCTGGCATTTGTTACTAGAAGTGCTAATGCTAATTTTACTATTACTGTTCTGGGCTTGGAGATGATGCGTGCTTATATGAGCTTCACCACAGTTTTATTCAGCTATTTTACCTTTTTGTGTATCTAGAGGCCTAATATGCTATACTATCATGATATATATTTTCACATCTAACAACATTGTAAATGCGAAACATTACTCGAGTACAAACTACAAAATGTATAACCTGTCTCTTTTATTCTGACTGCTCAAGTAGTTCTCCACCATTTTAATCACTGCGCATCTGGATAATTAAACACCGATCTTTTGTATTTCCTGATAAACAAAGAAAGCATTAGATACATGAAATCTCCAGTTCAATAATTTTAGTTGAAGTCCATCAAACTGCTTGTATTTAGTTTGAATGGAAGTGGCTTATATGAATGTTTTGTGCTTACCTAATAATTGTCTGTATTTATATCTATGTTGTGTGGAAGCAAGTTATGGGCTTATTTTTCTTTTCATGGTTGCCTATATGTAGGCATTATTTGATTGTTTCTGCTGTTACCAACTTGCTGGTGAATCTCATTGGTGTCTGGTTCTTCAGAAACTATGCTCGCATTAATCTTGGTAAGCCTTATGTTAAAGTTATAAGATAAATGCACTATCTTTCTAACTCTTAAGTTGATATAATTGGTCTATGAACGATGCAACAGAAAACTAGATGTTAATCTACATTTCTTTGTATGATTATACATACATTATCATCATTTTATTGAGCTATCTTTTCTCCATATGTATAAACACTGAATAGAAGTTGCAGCTGTGTTTGGTTTAAACTGGATATCATCTTTGCTTTCTGTAAGTGTTCTGATGGGATAGTTTTGCCAACTTGAAACAAAATATAATACAACATGTCGGTCGTTATGTGAACTAAGAGACATGTAAGGATAATTTGACATGAGAAGATGAAATTATAGCCTACTTTATTCTGTCATCTGTGACCTGTGTTTGGACTTCACTTGTAACTGTTAGTTACTTAGTTTCTTCACCCGATTAAAAATCTTATTGTTCACTTGTAGAAACAGAGGGCCCATTTTGTAAGGGTTATGTGGATGAAATGGCTGAATATGCATTTTTTAGCTGAAAAGTGTTCGGTAAAATCCGTTTTAGCCAAATAAGCAATAAATAAGCCTGAATTGGCTACGAAACTGAGCCAAATTAGCATCAGTGTTTTCCTTTACTTATCTGTCTGCTCTCGGAGATTCTTACTCTAATTCTGTTGCTTGTAGTTTACAGGAAGGCGGAAGATATGAATAACCATTCAGTTTGTTTGCATGTGATAGCTGATTCCATCCGGAGGTACATGATTGTGCTGACCAGCTCTTTAGAGTTTAGTTCTCTTATGACGAATTATAAGAGAGCTTAATCTCTTAGGTTCATTCTTTTGCAGTGCAGGTTTGATCCTAGCCTCTTGGTTGTTGACATTAGGGTAAGTGGTTTCTTATCCTGTTGATTATCTATTAGGATAGTTGGCTTATTCTGCTTCAGAGCAGAATAAGTAGCTTTTGACTGTTTTTGTTTGGCACAAATGGGTGATTCAGCCAATTATGCCTGACCAAATGGCCCCCAAATTTAATTGTATATGGTCTTGATGTGTGCTAGGGTGAAAAACGCTGAAGTTCTTTGTCTGGGAATAGTTTCAGCTGCGATATTTATGGTTGTCATGCCCCTATTCAAGGCTACAGGAGGAGTTCTTCTCCAAATGGCACCTTCGTATATCACTTCTTCTGCATTGAACAAGTGCCGGAGACAGGTCAATCTGCCTTTTAATGCTCATATACAAGTTGACTCGTCTTTTTCTTCAACTTGGTTTGTTCTTCCCAGTTTTTTATTCTCTTGAATGAAAAGTTCTCTATGTGGTTAGGTTACCTCTCGTCAAGATGTTTCAGAAATCTTTCAAGCCCGTGTATGGGAAATGGTGCCAGGCCATGCCATTGGATCAATTTCACTGCAGGTACTTTTGTCTGATTTCAGTTTTGCCAGTGTGCCGCACATACCGACCAATCAAACCAGTTACTTATAATTTCAGGTTTGGCTCATCAAATTTTAAGGCGGCTTTGAGTTGACTAAAACTTTAACAACAAACTTGGAGCTCAATTCGTTAGGGAATTGTTTTAGGCTGCAAGTGTATAGTTCCTCTAAGATGTTAAAGTTTGATACGTTAAGCAATAAAAGAGGCTCTCCGATTTCATGTTTTTTTATAACTCTTTTATATACGAACTTGAAATGAATTGCATTTTGTTGTGTGTGCAGATGAAGAAGGGAATGGATGATCGGGCGGTGCTCCAATATGTTCGCTACTTATACCATGATCTTGGGGTCCAAGATTTAACGGTACAAATTGATTATGCTTGACAATGTATATAGTACATACATATTAAACAATCGATCGAGATTTTAAAGTATGTGTTTGGCTTTATTTCTTGATATTATTGTACACAGTACACATTATGCTCTTCATTGGCATTGAATTACTTCTCGGTCAATAATTCCATTGAAGTATCTATTTTTACCCCATATTATGATTGATCATCAATTCATCATTAAAGGCGAACATGGTTAGAAACTTGACCCAACCGAGAACCGAACTTGGACATGGTTGCTAACAAGTTGCATCTTCTATATTTCACTCTTGTGACTAAACTTCAAGTATATTGAATGGTGGAGAAAGACAAGTCTATTTATTAGTGCTTTGCTTTATGAGTTTATATATGAAGCAACGTTTTATTATGTCATCTTCCGAAGTAAGAGTTGTACTTGTACTCGTAAGGTATAGTGAAATATTTTGAATTAAGAAAGCAAAACTTAATTAACATGTGGATATAAGGATCGGGTGATGCACTTTAAGAGCCCGTTTGGTGACTGTTTTTCGCCTTATCAGGATTACAAGTCAACTTTTTAACCAAACACTTAATTTTTGATTTCACGTCCTAAAGTGTGTAATAATAAGAAAAAGTAATGTTGAAGTTACTTTTGTGAATGTATTGGCTGAAGTTACTATAGATGATCATTTTAACTATTTTTTAATATATTTTTCTTTATTTTATTACTAAAATATATTTTAGATGTAATTTTTTCAGATATCAGCAGAATTAGTCAATACAGCCACTTCGGCCAGACTTTCATAAATCTCAGCAGAATAAGCTGATTCAGCCAATTTCAGTGTTACCAAACGGACTCTAAGTGTATCTTGAAGCACTGCAACACAACTCATCCTCTACACATTTAGGATGTTTTTAGTTGGATTGAAACTTCTGGTCTGATCTAGTTTGAATTGGCCAAGTAAATGGTTAGTTTCTGTGTATTATAGAACTGTTAAAGGTTGGTCTGGTTTAATCTGAACTGATTTGATCTGGTCTGGGATTTGAAATAAAGGCATTCTTAGCTTATGATAATGATGTGCTGATTTTCATTATCGGTTCCATTACAAATCACTTATGGCTTTCAAAACTTTCCTCGACACCTATCAGATAACATCTAGCAACCTTGGCAGCATAGATAAAAATAGTTTTATCTCATGTAACAACCTGGCATCTGTAAGAGCTTGGTCATTAGATGCTTAAGAGATATGGAGGTTGCGTGTACGTTAAAAATGTAGTCGACATATCAGCAAAAAAACTCACTTTGAGCTAGATGTACGGACTTTTTGTCACTTTTAGTGCTCTGACTATTATGTCATTGACATTTTTGGTACCTGACTTTGAGTTTTTCCACTTTTTGTCTTTTGACTATTGTGCGACAGATACTTTTGGTACCTGTCTTTGAAAATTTTCACATTTAATCATTCAATTTTCATAAAATTGAGATTATTGGTCCTTCAACTATTATAATAGTGACATTTTTAGTCCTTCACTTATTGTGTCAAATTCATAGTTGAGAATTAAAAGTGTCTATTTGGAAAAATCAAAAAATTGAAAGTCTATTTGGAAAAAAACTCTAGATGTATGACAGGTACCATTTGGAAACATTTGCGTAGTATTCACACTGAATGCATGGATTAAGTGAAGTGATGGAGGATGGAAGAAATAAGGTTAAATTTTATGATTTGATTTAATTTCTGGCTATTTAATGAAGAAAATAGAAGTATATAAAAAGTATTGATAATGATTTAAATTTGTAATTTTGAAAATTCTGAATGGAATAGTATTAATGCTAGAATAGAGGAAGTTTGATTATTTTGTGATAAAAGCAAAAAAAAAAACTAGGATATATTTGTGAATTCGATGATAGTTAGGAATATAATCAAATAGTAATCCTAAGAATAGTAATTGAAAGAATGAAAAAACTAATACTACAAGCTCTCCATCAAACATAATTGTTCCCTCACATGTATTATTTGGACAAAAAAAAGACTAATTATAATTGAAGAGATAAAAATGATCCATCACATATACTACGTATAAAGTTTGAATTAAACCTCAAGTTCCTAACTTCTCTCCCCCATTTCACACTTGGCCTTTTCCATCCATCCATCGACAATGGGCATTGCCATACCCCAAGACCAAGGCCTTCAGTCCGGCGACGATGGCGACAGGAAGTTCAACAACAGTGGCTCCAGCTTGGCGAGGAGGCTACTTAGGGTTAAGTTTGTGAGGATGACGACACCTCAACTATCCATTGTCGCCTCTGTCGCTACTCTCCTCTGCCGCCTCATTCGGTCCCACCCTCGTCATTGCCAACAACTTCTTTGATCTTCTTCTCCTCCTTTCTCCTGTTTGCTAGCAGCCGCTACACTCCCAACGCTAAAGCCCAATTGGAGAAGAAGATTTAGAAACGAATCTCTTGATCTTCTTATTTGCGCCGACATCTAGGGTTTGGTTCGGGGGCCGGGGCGGCGCAACAATGGTTGTGAAAATTGGGGTGGGGTGGTGGCTGGGGATGACTAGGGCTTGGGCTGGGGGAGGCAGTGACTAGGGTTGCGTGTGGGGAGGGTTGGGATGGGCGTGGGTCAGTGACCAGGGTAGTGTGCGTGGCGATACCGAATAACCGAGGGCGGGGGCAGCGGTACACTGTATGCAGTGTCAAAGTGGCAGTCACGATTGGGTCACGGTGGCGGTCACATTAGGGCTGCAGCATCACCGGGCAAATGTGTAGAGTAGTTATGCTAGAGGTACAAAAATATTTACAAAAAGTCTTACAGAAGGAGTATGTGTCATCATCACATTATTTAACACATCACATCATATTTACAACACTTTTACATCAATGGTAATTAAAATAACCACATCACTTGTTTGTAATTTTTTTTGTAATGTGTGTTTGTACTTCTACCATTTTTCAAATGTGTACCTTTCATTGGACTGTGATAACTAGACGGGGGCGAGGCCATGGTTACTGTGACCTGTCAGCCAACAAAGGTGGTAACCGTGAGCAGTGGCGTCATATGATGATGAGAAATGGTGCTAAATAGGAGCTTAAGTTTCTCTATGTAATTAAATAAGACATTGACTTTTTTAACTCCTAAATAGGATCTAATTTTAAGAAGTTTCCAAAATTGCCCCTGCTTCTTAATTTAATACGCACGCTTGCGTTTTCGGTTATTTTCTTTCACCTTCATCGAACTTCAGCTTCCTGGCGCGTCCAGTTCAAGGCCGGATGTTGTAATCTCTTGAGAAACTAATTTTCATTAATCAAACCATAAGTAAATCCTTTACAACCAATTTGACCAATCAGCAAAGACGAATTGATGGAGTATGTGGACCGGGAACCCCCGGCCCACAGACTCCTACTACTCCAATCAAGGTCCAACAGGCCCAAATCACAGCGCCCAGAGTACCAAGCAGCCCACAAATGCGCACCAGGGGTGCCTTCGGCCCTTGGTCGAAGGCTCTAACTCTCACAGGAGGGCCAGGACAGCAAAACAAAGTTACTGGGAAAAACGGCAAAAATCAGTAGCCCTCGGCACCTAGAGCCCTCGGCACCAAGGGGGTCCCCAGTACTCAGAGCCCTCGGCTAATCCTCTACAGCCGAGGGCACCTTTTCCGACATGATATCCGCGCCACATGCGTACAGATCACCGTACCCTGTACAACGTCCCATCCAACAACCGCATTAAATGCGGCCACATGGGGTTGCCAGCGCCAACCAGTTGAGGTGACCCCTCGGCCAATGAACGCTTGACACGTGTCCCTGTCCGGCATTTATTGCTACTATAAATAGCACCCCATTTCCCCATTTGTAACCACGCTGAAAACACTCCACACTTTACAATATACTTTCTCTCTCTATACTTACTTGCTCTGACTTCTCCCTTGTTATTCCTCGTGATAACCCCTCGGATAAGCTACCCCCGGGTACACTATCATCACGAATATTAACCAAATGCGAGCATAACCCTTCTACAGTTTCCACCCAACCCTTCTTGTTTGCTTGATTAATTCTTTTACTCCAATTTTAGACGAAGAAGAAATAGCAGTGGAGAATTATGCCGCAGCGCCGCCATGGTGAGTCGGTGATGCGGCGATGGCTCCTCGGTGCCAACGATGGTGGACGATGGAAGAAATCCATTCTCCTCCTCCTATTTCTTCTTCGTCTGCTCTTTTCCTCTTTTCTACCGCCGATCTCGTAGCTTAATTTTTCCTCCGGTCATTTGGTTGTCCTTTTTACCGGGAGATCTGGTAGAGAGCTCTTTGATAAGAGACTATGTCTCCATAAGATCAAACCATCAATTTTATATTAAAACTGATAAGAGTAAATCACTAAAATTAATCAAAATCAAATAGTAGTTAAATGTCATTGTTATTATCACATTTCAATATTTGTTCTGATATGCCTTTACCACTAAATTGGCTCTGCTAACCATTTAGTTGTTATCACAAATAGGAAAATAGCTGCTATGTCTTGGACTAATGCAGAGGGTAGTTGTTCCATTTAATGTATGCATCACTGAGTTTTTGTTTTGCACCAAAACTATTCGATGAAATGTCTATGTGAAAAAAATCTCCCTGTTTTACATTTTTAGTTGAGAAAAATCATGGGCAGCATATGTAAAGTGCATGAACGAGTGAGCTATAATGTCCAGGCTACATTGACATTGTCACGGCAATGTCATTGGCATTGTCATGGCAATGTCATTGGCATTGTCACGACAATGTCATTGGCATTGTTACCGCAATGTCACTGGCGGCAATGTCATTGACATCGTCACGACAATGTCATTGACATTGTCACGGCAATGTCATTGGCATTGTCACCACAATGTCACTGGCGGCAATGTTATTGGCATTGTCACGACAATGTCATTGACATTGTCGTGACAATGTCATTTTAATGACATCTGATAACATTCGCATTGTCATGAAAACAGTCATTGACTTTGCATTGACATATTATTACAATGTCATTTTTATAGTACTAACGTTGACATTGTTATTGTCATTATTTCACATTGTGACATTTTTACACGAGTAGGTTTCACGATATCACAACCATTATTTCAACATTTTAATATTTCAACATTTTAATATGTTTCAGGTTGTATCTCAAACTCTCAAAAGCTAATTTTTCTCTAAATTTGT